TTTCCGGCATTAGGCTGTTTCAGGTCGTGGGCCTTCTTCCAGCTAAAGGTGGTAGCTAGTTTTTTGTCTGTCAATAATATCTGGTTTTCTTTTTGTTCCACCGGTGTTTGCTTGGTTTCCCCATGTAGTTCGTGTGGCGTCTGAGTGCAAGCCACCGTCATCTGTTGGGCCTGGAGTGGTCGTTTCGGAGGTTCCTACGGCGCAGCAACTACCATCTTGCAGCGAAAACGGAATGCTCTGCCGGGTTCTTCAGGAGTCGATGGATGGCTCGGGTCCCATCGATCTGGGTGTGGTGATTTGGTAAACACAATACCTCCGTATGGAGTTTTATAGGGTAGATTTAAGGGGGTTATTATTAGAGTTAGGCTAGTTGTAGCTTCGTTAGGGGGTACACCTATTGTGGTGTTTTCTCTCTTTTTTTTTAATAAGGGTTATGTAGGGTTTTAGAGTAAGCTTTCAGAGAAATTTACGGGTAAATTTCTTGACGGAAGGGGGCAGTTTGTAACGTTTAAATTTGGCCTTATAGCGGTTTTTCATAAAAATTAGAATATACTAGTTTTGTCCGTGTTTCAATAATTATTTGATGGGTCCTTCTATACTCGCATTTTTAACCACTGTGCTTTTGGTTCGGTATTCGGACAGAGCGGTCATTCTGTGACACTCTGGGGAGCATGTGGCTGCCCTGTATTTAAGATGTCGGTCTAGCATTTCCGCTTTGATGTTACGTGCGAGTATATGATCAGTTTGGGGGTAGATAGGACCTCTATTTGAGTTTAGTTAGGCTGTTTATTTCGTTTTAGAGGCTTTGTTTGCTTATTTTAGCCCTCTCTGTCAAGAATTTATTTCGTAATAGAGGGCGCTGATGGGACACCTATCTGTCACTGAGGTATGTTGGTATTACTGGTTTTTGGAATTTTAAGTGACAGATTTCTGGATTTATCTAGACGGTTATTCGACACGAGGTTTTTAATTTGAAAGATTGTTTCGAAATTTATTGGAAGTCGTTTCAATCCATTTGGGATATTGCGAAGCAACCTTTTGTGTTAAGTTACAACAGTGTGGATTTGGTAGTATTTTTGGTTTCCACATGTTGTAGGAGCTCCTAGGAGGATATATTTAAAACACGTGTTGATTAGTAAGTTTTTTCTACATAATATTCAAAGTTACGACGTAGTTATTCTTATTGTAAGACCTTCGTTCTTTTATTTAAGTGTGCACATATATACGTAGTCTCTCTGAATAAGCCGTCCACAAATTTGTCATTCAATTGATCTGGTGGGTGCATCGTGTTCCCCTTTGCGGATTAAAAAAGGGTAATTATGCTTTGATTTTAGTTAGAATGCTTACTTAGACCTAACCCTAGGTTATGTTCTTTTCATTGTATATATTTTCAGTATTTGGGGTTGACTATTAGGGGTAGTATCTTAAAATCTAAGGGTGTAATTTACCTATTAAGTGTAATTGTTGGGTAGAACTCGCTTCACGAGCCGTCTATCTTTTGCTTTGTAAATCTGAAGATTACCTACATAAATTGATAAGCCGAACTTTAATTAACTAGTAAACGTTGAGTAGTTTTATCTATTTCTAGATCTCGCTTCACGAGAAGGCTATGTAGGTACCTGGTTATTTAATTTTAACTTCTTATTAACCAGGGATAAATAGTTATTACTGTGCTTTATCTTATACGTTTTCTTTAGGGTTCTTGTGGCGGGCACACACACTTCTTGTGACAGGCTGATACTTCTTGTGACGGACAGTATTCTTGGTACGAGCCAGTATTCTTGTGACGGGCACACATTTCTTGTGACGGGCCACACTTCTTGTGACAGCTGATTGATTCGTAGGCTGCTAACGAGGCAGAGATATCAACGTCTACTGGAAGAAGTCACCGTGTACCGCAAGTTTTGCTCTTTTTTTTTTATTTATCATTTATTACTATTTAATCTATTTTATTGGGGGGTGTTATTAGTATATATTTTATCTAAACCTAATGTAAACGAGGCTTAGGGGTTTATGGTTCACAGTACAGTTTATTAAACCCGAAACACTTCACCAAGAGCTCTTCGTGGGTTATATATTATTATGGGTAATTAATATTTTAATAAGTAACAGCATTTTACTTGATTTTACCCCTAGCGTCAGTAATTAGTACACTATCATTTGTTTTCTTGATAAATACAGTACACACTTCATGTGTTATGGTTTTACGATTACCCCTAGTCCCATTTAATGATTTTTAAGCTTGAAATAGTATAATAGTTGTAATTATTACTCCCAGTGATACTGGATTACTGTTAATAGTTGGGGAATCTGTTATTAAGGTACTAAGTGATTTAATTATTTGTTTATTTGTTAAATTTGCATACATACATTTCATAGTGGTAACGAAGTTGACCCCCCATGTCAACACAATAATTTATATATTTAGATTATTAAACTTGGGTATCTATTATTAGTTAACTTATTATTTATCCCCACTTGCCAATTGTCTATAAACATCTGGTTGAGCATTTGTTTTTATGGTAAAGTACACTTTTAACATATTTGGAGTTTCTCGATTTGTAGCCGCTTGATGGCCTTGTAGAGGAGAGGCTATAGTTTCCTATTTGGAGTTTGGTAGTGAACTGTCACGTGGATTGTTGGATGTGAGGTTAAGCTCCTGGCGCCCACTGAAGAACATAACTTTTACTACGACTCACCCCTTCTTCACTGTAGTTAGTCGGCATCCAACTTTGGATTGACATAAATCCACCTCGGTGCTTAGGCACAGAAAGTAGGTAGCATTTATTAAAGACCCGACTATCATGGACCGAGCCAGGAAAGCCAATAAATACATCTCTTATTTTTCTTTCGTGGTCACAAACAACTTGAAGCTGAAATAAAATATATACTTTATATTTACTCATAATCTTCATACAGAATAATCAGTATTTAAGAGAAATATATACATTTTAGATCAGTGTAAACCAGATTTTCTTAGTGTTACACATTTATTTCATATTTGTGCTTAAAAACATAAATAAATGTAATATATACCCTTAAAACTACTGTTAAGTGTACAAAATTAACAGTTCAACACAAGCTTGAAAGCTCAGTAGAATTATATACAATTGTAAAATTTTCCAAAATATTGAAAGCGAAATGTATTATATTATTTAATAGTAACCTGTAGGTATTCTACGTCTAACAATATTAATGATTTCCTGATCATTTTACACTTAAATATTTCTACAGTTTTAATAATTCTTTATCTACGAATATACCTAGTATGCCTATTAACAGTAATATATTGTATTAATTATCATACTCTTTATAGTTAATAGTCATTGTTAATTATTATAAATTAATAACAGAAAAAAATACTTACATGAATAGAATAAAAATGTTTTCTATTTATGTAGGAATCTGGGTCGTCTTCTGGTTTATCAATTCTTACATGGGAATCATCTATTGCCCCAATAACCCCAGGGAACCCATTCAGTCGAAAATGTCGCTCAATTCTTGGTTTCTCATTAGCAACCGGCCACTCAATGACAGTTGCAGATAAATTTGATAAAAAATATATCATTTTAATAATAATTTTCTGTAATGAACAAATCGTCGCCTTAGTAAGAAAACCGCGTATCTCCACGTTTAGGTCAAATTGACCTTTTAATGTCATCTAATAGAAAAATATCAAACCTTACTAGTCTGAAACCCACGTAACTGCCAGAACAATATTTCCCGCCTAAAAATTTGGTCAAGCAAATCACGTATTTCCATGTGTCAAATTTAGGTAAATAAATTCGCTTAACTCCTAGTTTGCCTAATATTTCAACAGTGTGTGTATGTGCTCGCAAGAATTCAATAAGTTAGTGAAGAAGTATATTCATTTTTGAGCAAAAAACTTATTTATCGTCAAGGTAAGGTCATTGTAGTATTTTCAAAAGTTCGATTAATCAAAGAAATATATTATATTGGTCTATTTTGTGACTTTTTTTACCGGTTATGGACATACGTGCTTTTCCAACTTTACTTAAATGTGTTTATTGTGTAGTTACGCGTTTTTCCATTTAACTAAAATTGATAAATAAAAAATGTAGATACATTTTTCTCCTTAATTTTAATCGTTATAATTTATTATAGACAAATAACTTAGTTAATTTCCAATTTTAGAATGTCATTTCGAACAAAACTCATAATGGATATGGTTAACCAACAAGCAAGCGATTCTTGTGTGGATACCATCGAATACATAATTGGAGATGATGGAACTTTGTCTCCGTTTTACACACAATTGCCTAGTAGTGTAAATGAAGCTATATTAAATAATATTAATAATGAGGCTCCACAACCGAATATTTTTAACAATTTTAAACATATAGAATTGCCAACAGACTTTAACGATGCTGAAAGCATAAACAGTGAATCAGAAACTATAATAATATTAAATAATAATTTTGAGGCTCCACCACCGAATATTACGACCAGTTTTGACCATTTATATTTGCCGACAGACATAAACGATGTTTTTAGCATAAATAATGAACGGGAAAACCCAGAGAATCCAGAAACGGAACAGGACAAGAATGGCGACTCCGATAGTAACATCACGAATATTATGTCATTTGAACACGACGACTTGGATGTTTCCTACGTTCCTGAGGAAAACGAATGTGGTAATAGCTCTGCAGATGAAGATGATAACAGCGGAAAAACGAGTCTGATAGCAGCCTGAATAATACAAAAATTTGAAAGAAGAGAAAATATTCTGAAGGATGGAATTATAATATAAATAAATATAAACGATTAAAAGGTCAGCCTTACCAAGGCAAAAAGGAAATTGTTGGAACTACAACATAAACAAACCAGGTAAAAACTTAATATTATTATTTTGTAAAAAAACAAAAGATTTATTTTTTAGGTAAATTTTTGTCAAATCCGTGCAACTGTTTCCTCGGTAAAAAAAGTGTTGCTATCCAATGTCAAAAAATGAAGAAAATAAAGAAAAACGTTTAAAAATGTTTCAAACATTTTGGAATACAATGACTTGGAGTGAGAGGAAACTACATGTACAGACTCTGGTGCAATGTGAGAATGTTAAAAGAAGAAGAGGGCAGCAAGAAGTATCGAAAATAAATTATTCTACTAAATATTTTTTAAAATTGGATTTGGAAAGAATAAGGGTTTGCAAGCGTATGTTCGGAAGTACATTAGGGTTAAAAGAAACAATGGTACTGACTTGGATAAAAGAATTTAATCGCTAAAGTCATGACTATCAGGTTAGCAAAAAAAGCAGAACAAGGAGGACAAAATTTGCAGATAAACATAGGGCTGTGTATCAATTCAAAAATGGAAAGCCATTATTGTAGGTCTTCTTCGAAAAAATTTTATCTTGAGCCACTTTGGCGTTCAAATGCCGCCATGTATAATTTTTTTAAAAAAGAATATTGCAACGAACTTAATTTGGAACCTCCATCCATATTAACGTTCATGAAGATATTTGAAAAGCTGAATTTATCACTTTACCTACCAAAAAAGGATCTGTGAGACGTGTGCGAGGCATAGAATACAAAAAACTTATCTGAGGAAGACTATAATATTCATCAAACTTTAAAATTAGAGGCACGTCACGAAAAAGAAAAAGACAAAGCTACTGCCGACGAAACAGTTAATGTTTTTGCAATGGACTTACAGAGCGTGTTATTGAATCATAAATCAACAGTATCTGCAATGTACTATAAAACAAAACTGGTAGTTCATAACTTTACCATTTATAATCTTAAATCCAGAGAAGGATTTTGTTTCCTGTGGAATGAAAGTGAAGGAGGCCTGACTGCAAACGAATTGTCCACCATAATTTCCGTTTTTGTTGAACAAGAAATAAAAAAGAGTGACGGAAACTTACGTGAAATTATATTTTTTAGTGATGGCTGCACGGGTCAAAACCGCAACTCAACACTGGCTAACGCGTTTGTAAACTTAGCTGCCCAGCATAAAATCGTTTTAACTCAGAAGTATTTATTCAAAGGACACACCCAGATGGAGGTGGACTCAATGCATGCAACAATTGAACGACAGATTAGAAATCGCAAAATAAAATAGGTTTTGTTTAGCTTCCTTGTATATATTATTTATAAAAACCACGTATCTCCAATTATTATTTAGATTTTTTTATAAGAAAATGGCGTAACTCCTTTTTCAATTACAAGAATTACATAATTTTATTATTTTTACCAAAAATGTTAAATCTGAAGTATTTTTCTCTATTTATGAAAGATTTAAAAATTTTATCACCAATAGGGCGGTTACAAAACGTTTTTCTTTTCTCCTGTAAATTTTACTAAAATGGAGTTACGCGGGTTTCTTACTAAGGCGACGAAATAAATTAATTAATTCTAGTTATACCTAATATCATCTTGAATAGTAAATTAAAATTTGGAAAATGATTAACATCCCAATATACAGAGGTTCTGAGACATTTTGCCATAACTTTACAGTTTTATTTAAACAAGGCTTATGAATAAGTCTGGAAAACTTTTAATTATTATTTATCTCAAGTATAATCAGATAATGGAGTATTAACGTTGATTGCTGACTTGAATTTTTACATTTTAGCACAAAAAGTGGCCGATGCTAAACAGGAAGGCAGAAATTTGATTTATAACCTGGTTTTAGACGAAATGTCTATAAAAAAGCATTTAGATTTCGATGGCCAACGTAATTAGGGATTTATTGACATACACAATAATGGTGGAGACTTTGCTACTAAAACACTTGTTTTAATGGTTGTTTGTTTAAGCCTCCAATTGCATATTCTTTAATCAAGTCTCTTTCAGGAGCCGAAAAGACAAATAATATTTAAGAAGCACTCAAATTCTTCTCTAAAATAAATCTAACCAATGCAGCTATTGTACGTGATAGACCTTCTAAACACTTCACCATGTTTAAAAGCTAGGTTGCAATTTTTATGATATTTGCAATTTATCAATGAGTTTTATACATTCTGGAAATCACAACAAATTTTTTTTGCAATGTTTTATATTTACCATATTATGCTAAAGCTGCTTCGAAATGCATTCGCTGTAAAGCAAGTATTAATTGATGTGAATGGTATTTTTTTAAATGGAAGTATAGTGAAAAGTTAAATTCTATTCAAAATGAAGAAATCCTTCATTTAGTAAATAAACTGGGATGGAAAAATATTGAATGGAAAAATATGTAATGAAGGTTAGTAAAACATTATGTCAATTTAGATTTGTTCAAAGATTTTATGTTTTATACTTTAAATTCATTTATATACAAAATTGCCAAATATACCAGTATTTAAAATTATAGCTTCACTAAGAAATCTAGACAAAAAAACTTCTGGTGTACCTGTATATTTCAATCATTATTCTCAATGCATATAATTCTTGTTTTATCTGAGAATAGAACTCTCTTCCAGTTAAAGATGGTCTAATTTTTTATGCTATATATATTTGTTATGACAGGAAATAATTACAACTATTGAGTGGTGCAGTAGACCATTAGAATTCTTTACGAAGTGGTCATGTATAGATGAAAGAAGAAAGGACACTTAAAGTTACTCATTTACTTTAATTTTATAGTTAATGCGAGCACTTTTGGCACTAAATAGATAAACACAGTCAGAAAATATTCCTAGATGAGAAATCATTTTTTGCATGAGCGAGTGCCATTTACTATTAACTTCAACTTTTACCAGTAAAAAATCTTCTGCAACTATTTTGTCATCATGGCATAATAAGGGAGGTTCATTTTTTTCCTCGCTAAAATCGTTGCTGATATCGTCTGATTTTAAACTTAGCTGTTCTTCTGAATTAGTACTGCTGGAACTGGAACTTACTTTTCTTACTCTTTTACAGCCGGTCTTCACATTTTGAGAGTTGTCTTTATCAGCAAACACTTGTTTTGCGACTAATTTTTTAAGTTTCCGTTCCTCTTGAATTTTTTTGCGGTTCTCTTTCTCGCGCTCAATTTCTAGATTTCAAAAATTCTAGATTTTCTGCGCCTGTCTTTTCCCCTGGTAGTTTTGTTAACACATGGTCTGGGAAACGGTCTAACCGCCTCTGGCGTTAATACCTAACCTTAAAAAAATTATATGTTTTTGTCAAATGTGACATGTCTTATTTATACCTGTTTTGCATTCCTCTAGATTATTAGTATTTTTGCCAGTCATATGTGAAGTTGAAGGCTGCGGGTCATTATTTTCAACTTAAAAAAAAAAGATAAATAAATTAGCCATATCCCCCAACTGATCTGTTAAACCTTACCTGTTGAACTATTGCTCTCTTTTTATGTTGTTGAAACCTAAAAGAAAAAAAAAATGGTTGCTTTTTAATTGGAAAAGTTAAGCAAGTTACCTAAATTACCTTCTTCGGTAGGTGAAGGTTTCTCAGAATTTAAGCTTATTGATGATGCCATATTCGACTGGTTGACGTAGCTGGTAGTAAAGTCTTCTTCTTTAAAAGCAAGTCTGTTTAGGGGCCATAAACCTGGTTTTTCAAATGAACTAAGTTTTTCTGAGAAAAAGCTAAATGAAATGCTTTTTTAGTTAAGCAAGCAATTTGGTAAATAGTTACAGGCTTTCCGGGGTTTATTGTCACTTTTTGCCCTAAATAGATAACCACAGTCAGAAAATGTTCCTAGGTGAAAAATTATTTCTTGCATGAGCGAGCGCCATTTCCTATTAACTTCAACACAAGCAAAAGAGAACCAAAAGTTTGATCTTGCCGCCACCAATGTTAGTGATTTGCAAATTACTGATCATGTTTTTATTTTTTTATTATATTTTTTAAATTTATTTTTCTTCTTACATTTGCAAAATGAATGCAAAAGAAATCTAGTAATAGAACATGTATAAGTAAGAGAACAGAATGATATTGTCACGACCCTATTTTTTAGGTGACGAAAGAATTATTTAATATTATATTTTGGGCCACCTTTTTTTAAGACAAAAGTAATATTAAAACATAATTTTATTTATCAATAAATAATTAGAACTCGAACATAAAACAAAGATGGTAACAGTATAAAAGGGTAAGAGTGTATGCTTTCACGGCCGGCGTCAATGTAATTGTTTGTGGTCTTTTTTAGTTATTACAAATATGTCTGTGGAAGTATAGTTATTACCATTAGTTAACTGTATTAATAAAGCAATGCAAAAAATAGTAGTCTCAAACAAACTTTCGCAAATGTTTAAAAGAGAATTAGAGAAGCAAATTGAAAAACGGTTAATTGATAAAAAGTAAAGTTTATAAAATAAGGCCCAGAAATCGAGATGAACTTTGTGCCAGAATAAGACAAGCCTGTCAATAACTCAGCATCCCACGAGTATCCAGACATAATCGTAAAAGAATTAAAAAATGTATTCGAACAAATGGAGGACTAGTCGAGCGAGATAACATTTGACAAATTGTCATTTGTACTGAAAATTATTGTTTTAATTATTTTCTTAAATTTAATCAGTTACTTACCTACTAAAAATTGTTTTCTTAAAATTCGTTTGTGTTAGTGTTATTTATTTTACTGAAGAATTTAAATTACATGAATGACACTAAACATACAAGTCTAATCTGACTGACATTAATGATTTCACAAGTGTCAAATTATTCCTTTCCATGGCACACTAGTTTATCGAATGAAAAAAATCATCTTTTAATAATTTTGTGTATTGACCAAAATAATGAAAAAACTAAAAATGCGAATTTTTTCATATAATTTGGTATGTGTGGTTAGAATAATATTCGGAACAACTGTTTCAAATAACTTGTTGAAGAAAAGAAACTTCATACATACACTATTGGACAAAAGTGAAGCAACTTTTATAGTAAAATAAAATATTTAATTATTTAAAATAAAATGAGTAACCATGGAAATTAAAAATAATTTAATTTAAGTGGTCATAGTAGGCTGCAATCATATGTGACTTGGGATTGTTTGCAAATGTCAAATAAGTTAGTATGTAATAATTTATTTCAACTAGACCTTTTATTATCGCGACAAAAGTATAGCAACTCTTTGATTTGGTTTACAGGAAAAGGGTTTATGATACAGGTAAAGTTCTAAAATGACGTTTTTCAATTCAATTAAGCTTAATAGCTCTAATATTTACAGAATTAAATATGCCAAAAGGAAAACGAATCTGAACGGAGGTACAAGAAATGGTCGTAAACGCCTTTTTAGAAGGGAAGAGTAAGATTGCGATTTCCAAACAGTTCGACTTGCCCAAATATAGTGTCTCAAAAATAATTTCACGTTATAATGAAAGAGGACATGTAGAAAAAATGCCGAAATCAGGAAGGCCCAGGAAAACTACATTTTTGATGGATAGGAGAATCAAAAGAATTTCTCAAAGAGATCCGTGGTTGTCAGGACCAAGGATAATTGCTGAAATTCCCGAACTGGAAGTCAGTGCGAGGACTGTTCAACGACGATTAGTTGAGGCGAAACTTTATAGCAGACGTCCTGCCAAGAAACCGTTGGTTTCTGAAAGAAATCGCCGTGCCAGACTTGAATTTGCGCAACAACATTTGAACTGGACAGTGCAAGATTGGGGAAAAGTATTGTTTAGCGACGAAAGTCGTTATAAAATTTTTAATTCTGATGGAATGAAGCGTGTCAGGCGTCCGATTAATATGAGATTTCACCCAAAGTATGTTACGCCAACAATAAAGAACGGACAAGGTAGTGTATTTGTATGGGGTTGTTTTTCGTGGAGCAGAGTAGGCCCACTACATTTTATAGACGGAATTATGGATCGCTTCGTCTACAGAGACATACTCCAAAACGTTGTTTCCCTATGCTCAGCGGGAGATGCCTTTGCAATTTATATTCCAACAGGACAACGATCCGAAACATTCGTCTCGCCTTGTTCAGGAATGGTTTCAGGAAAACAATGTCCAGGTTCTTAGGTGGCCAGCCCAATCACCAGACCTCAACCCCATTGAGAACCTTTGGGAAGAGGTTGAACGTCGTATTCGTACTACAATATTCCCAAATAAACAGTCCTTAATTGATAAAATTAATGAAGTTTGGATTAATATGCCGGATATTACTATCCAAAACTTAATTTCATCAATGCCTCGCCGTTGCCAAAAAGTTATATCTAATAATGGATATCCTATTAATTATTAAGAATTTGTTCTTATTTTGTTTTAACCCTTCAACCATATTTGTGATTTTTCAGTTGTTAAATGAAATACAAAATTTTTTCATAAAAGTTGTTATACTTTTGTCGCGATAATAAAGGGTATTGTTGAAATAAATTATTACATACTAACTTATTTGACATTTGCAAACAATCCCATTTCACCTATCATAGCAGCCTATTATGACCACTTAAACTACATAAATTTTGATTCTCACGGTTGATCGTGTTATTTTAAATAATTAAATATTTGATTTTATTATAAAAGTTGCTTCACTTTTGTCCAATAGTGTAAGTAATCAAAATTTATAGTTATAAATTGTATTGCAGACTGTACATTTCGTACTGCATTATTTTACCATAACTACCAGAATTAGTAACTAGCAACAGATTACAATTTAACAATTAAAAGGCAGCTGAAATCACATAAATATAAACAACAGTTAAAATAATCTAAAAAGCCTGAAGGAAGATGTCACTATTCAACAAAAAATAAGATTTAAACAATCTTTAAAAATTTTTCTTTTTTGTGGTTCTGCAAATATGCACAGGGGTGAGATTATTCAATTTTAGGCCCTATATATGGAACAAAATGCTGTCCCTGATTATTTCTGCAGAATACAGTGCTTAAAACATTATTTAAAACAGATTTTCTATTGTTTTAGCTCTTAATTGCCAAAAACTGTGGAAAGCCCTGAGAGACAGATACACCAGGAAAAAGAAGGAAATGGACAAATCAGGCTTGGCAGCCCCTGAATCCAGGTGGGATCTTTTTCCTAAGATGGCATTTTATGATAAATATACGAAACCGAGACAGTAAGTTTATGCAAGTGATGCCATTATTGTATTTCATTTACGGATTATTTTTTGTCTAGAACATACGAGTATGCCCAGCGCAAACCCTGCTACTTTGAGTAAAGTTGCGGAAGTGCGCTCTGGAACAAGTGCATGGAGCACAATGCTGTCTCCAAAGGCCCCAGAGTCGCAGGCTAACAAAATAGATCCAGACGATGAAGATGTAATGGATGAAACACTTCCTCAACCTGACGTCAAAGCGGGCCTTAGTGGAGGACCGAAGACAACGTTAGAAACTTCAACTGGTTCTAAAAGTAAGGATATAAGTTATTGTATATTAATCTTTATGACAAATATCATTTACAATAGACAAATACTTTGAGTATTGAAACATATAGAATGAAATGGTGTCAACATAAACAAATGCAATTTAAAAAATATTGTAAACTAAAAAATTATCTATATTATAGAGTTCTATTTCCTTTTTAAATATCTTTTTACTCATTATGATTTTAATTCTATCAGATAATTTATTAAAAAGTTTAAAACATGCAAAATGTAGACTCAATTCTGCCACTGTTAACTTATGAACCACTGGATAATTTATATTCTTACTCGATTAAATTTCTTTGGAAGAGTGTTTCTCAAAAATATAGGGTTGTATGGGTTTATACTAGGTGGTTAGGAATTTATGGTGGGATTTAGGTAACAAAATGGGTTTATTCAACATCAAATATCTCTAAATCAATAATTTGGAATAAATTTTTTTTTCTGCCGAATATTCTCGAAAATAGTGTATTTTCATTTCCTATTCATAATTTTACCGAATAGCGCTTTTCCCATACAGGGGCAACCAAAACTCGGGACCACTTTTTTCTCAGTTTTTTCAAATGTACCCTGTAAATGAGGCCATACCAGGATAGTCCATACCATGAGCTTTCAGAAAATGTAGGGTTTGCCTACTTGATTTTTATCGGAAATGTATCTAATTCTTAAGGAAAGTATAAAAAAGTTATAAAAGCAATAACTATTTATTTATTATAAACGAACAATTATTTAAAAAAGCGTATATTCACAGCAAATGTTTAAATAATCTCACATTTTAAGCTATGCCCGAATTAATCATATCTACAATTGCTCTTCGAACTTTCATTAAAGTTGATCTTGTAATACAGCGAAAAATCAAATCACCCTTGAAACATTTGAACGTTATAGGAATTTGACATTTAATTATCGAGAAGGAGAATAATTTATAGTTGAAATTTAATAATTTTTCGCTTCAACATGAAATCATCCACCGAAGAAATGATAAATATGATCTACATTTTGGGTGAGTGTGATAGAAATTGTTTATTAGCCAGTAGGAATGTATGCAGTTCGATACCCTGATTCAAAGTCTATACGACCAGAGACTTTTCGGAGGGTTAAAGAAAGATTTGACGAAACAGGCAGTGTCAAGCACGAGAAAAGGCAAGTAGTGAACAAAATTGCAACAAATGAAGAAAATGAATTAGCGGTGATCCTTTCAACAGTAGAGAATCCTCATGTTAGTACGAGGGAAATTGCAAGAGAGCTGGATATAAGTCACACTTCCGTGAACAGAATATTGATAAAAAATAAACTTCATCCATACCGAATTGAATTACATCAAGAACTTTATGAAAGGTATTATGACACCAGAGTTCGCTATTGCGAAAATGTATTGAATTTCATTCGCGAGGAACCAAATTTTCTAAAATACATTTTGTTTAGTGACGAGTCAACATTTAAAAGTAATGGAATAGTAAATAGACACAATTGCCACTACTACTCAACAGATAATCCACATTGGGTCAGAGAAATTGATTACCAAAATAGATGGTCGATAAATGTTTGGGGGATCAGGTCATAGGGCCACATTTCTTTGATGGTCCACTGAATGGGGAAATTTACAGAGATTTTTTCTCCGAGATCATTTACCAATTTTGTTGGAGGATGTACCTATTGACATCAGACTCAGGTTATATTACCAACATGATGGCGCGCCTCCCCACAATCAAAATAAGGTAAGATGGTTTTTAAACAGATGGCGCAGTAATAAATGGATAGCAAGATACGGACCCATTCAGTGGCCAGCAAGGTCTCCAGATCTCACGCCTCTAGATTTCTATCTCTGGGGATATGTTAAAGGAGAGGTCTACCGCGAAAAACCAACGACACCAGAAGACATGAAGAATAGAATTAGAGAAGTTTTTCACTCTATTACAAAATCAACTTTAATTAAAGTTAGAAGAGCAAATGAAGACTTAATTTGTGCATAGCTCAAAATGGGAGATTATTCGAACATTTGATGTGAATTTATGCTTTTTCGAATGAAATAAATAAATAGTTATTGCTTTTATAACTTTTTTATACTTTCCTTAAGAATTAGATACATTTCCGATAAAAATCAAGTAGGCAAACTCTACATTTTCTGAAAGTTCATGGTATGGGCTATCCTGGTATGGCCTCTTTTACAGGGTGTTCCATTTGAAAAAACTGAGAAGAAAGAGGTCCCGAGTTTTGGTTGCCCCTGTATGGGAAAAGCGCCATTCGGTAAAATTATGAATAGGAAATGAAAATACACTATTTTCGAGAATATTGGGCAGAAAAAAAATTTATTCCAAATTATTGATTTAGAGATATTTGATGTTGAATAAACCCATTTTGTTACCTAAATCCCACCATAAATTCCTAACCACCCAGTATAAACCCATACAACCCTATGTTTTTGAGAAACACTCTTCCAAAGAAATTTAATAGAGTAAAAATATATAGGGTGTTTCCTTTAAAAAAGCATTACTTCGATAACTCATACATTTATCGGACACCCTGTATATTGGTAGTTATTTT